GGGGAGGTGGGGGCGGTGGAGCAGGATGGAGGAGGTAGGGAGTATTTACTGTGGTGGCCTCACAGAGAAGGCCCCAGCAGGGTGTTGGGGGGTGTTCAGTGAAGTGGGGAGAGGGTCTCTCTTGACCGAGGGACGGGTGGGGGGACTCTTAAACCCATGGTGGGAGAGAGAAGAGAGTTTGGGTAGTGAGGGTCCCAGCACTGAGAGTAGCAGAGGTGGCTGCCCTGGGCTCAGGCAGCACCTGCACATCCCAGCCTGGCCCTGCCCCACCTGCCTTTGATCTCCGGGCATCCCCACCTCCCACCTCCACCCAGACCCCAGCCCTCTGTGACACTGCCCCCCACCCTGCTGGCCCTCCATGATGCCCGCACCCCACCTGCCCAAACCCTGGCGTTTTGACCCTTCCACCTCACCCGACCTGGCCTGCCTTCCCTTCCTGAGGGATGATGCCCACTTCGCGTGACCCAGGCCTTCCCGCCCTCCAACTCCCACATCTGCAGCACTGGGTCTGGCCTCAGGGTGCCCACCCCTCCCTTCAGGCTGACAGGGCCACCTGAGCCCCAGGTCCTGTGTTGCCCTCGTGCCAGCTGGGACTGCCCCCTGGGCTCTGGCAGAGACGGGCTGCTGGAGGGCCTTGGAGGAACAGACTCATGGACGGGTCCTCAAGCTTGTGCCTGTGTCTCACACAGGCTGTTCCCCATCCCACCCCCAGGGCCTGTGGGCAGAGGCAGTCCTGGTGCTGACATGGAGGTGTCCCTAGCACCCACTTCTCCCACCAGCCTGGCCATCGGGGCTCCTGAAGGTAGGGAGGGGGATGTCGTGACAACGCTGCTGTGCTTGTGTGTGGCACTGTGTCCAGAGGGGCCTAGGAGAGCCCACATCAGTGTGGCCCTGTGGACCTTGAGCCCAACCTGTCCCTCTAGACTCGAGTCCACTGGTTGAGCTGCCACCTCAAACCCTGAGGGTTCCAGACCACACTGCCCAGCTGGCCAGCATCCCCTGAGTCTGGCCAGAGCCCTGCAGCTCGGGCAGGTACTAGGGGCAGGCCCTGGGGGGATAACGGAGAACCCTAAGTGGCAGGGTCTGAGGGGCAGGGAGTGTCCTGGGGGCAGGGTCTGGGGTGGACAAGGAGGTCCTGAGGGCAGGCAGGGCCACAGCTCAGAGGGCCACTCTCTCAGCTTTGGCACTAAATCCCACTGGTTTCCTTTCTGAGGCTGCAACAAATCAGGACATCAGGGGCCAGGGAATCTGGGGGCAGGGGATCTGGGACAGGGCATCTATAGGCAAGGGATCGAGGAGCAGGGCATCTGGGGAGGCTCTGGGGCAGGCAGGCAGTTGGCCAGGAGTTGCCTATTTCTCTGCCCTCTCTCTGCAGGAAGCCTGACCAACCTCAGGTCATAGCTCAGACCTCTGTGGGTACGACAGACACAGGGCCAGCAAGGCCCAGCCAGCCCGACCTCAGGGCTGCCCTGTCAGGGACAATACCCAGTCACCATCTCCAGGAGCCCTAGCCCTGAGCAACTCAGTGCACCCCTCTCCCCTGGGGGCCAGAATGCAGGGACCCCCCCAACCAGCCTCCCTGCACCCTAAAAGCACCGTGTGCTGCTGTGCCCAGAGAGCAGACCTGACGAGAGCCTGTGCCCCAAGTTCCAAATGATATTTGGGTTTGTCAAGGAGGCAGGATTCTACCAAGGCACATTCCCTGGGATGTGCCCACAAGAGTCCTGTAATCTCACTGCACCCCCAAAAGCCTGCTGCCTCACCCATCCCTGGTGGAACAAGAGAGCCCCGAGAAAGGGGTCCCAGGCAGCAGAAGACCCCTCCCCACCCCACCCCTGTGCAGTGAGTAGTGCCCCATTGCTCTGGGCTGGGAAGCTGACACACCAGTATCGGGATGCCCATAGCCAGGATGAGGCCCTGCCGGGGGTGGGGGGAGGGGTGCTGTGGGCTGTACTCCCAGCTGGGAGACAGAAGGCAGGTAAGCAGTGGGACCACACTGCCACCCAAAGCAACTCGCCCTTGCTCTTGGTATCCCCACACAGCCTCAGCCAGGCGGGAGGTGCCCAGTCAGTCAACAACTCATTTCTCAACTGTCCCCTGGCCAGAGCTCTCAGAGGGCCCCCGCACCTGCCTGGATGCTGACCTGCGCCCATGGCCAGCGGGGCAGGTCCACCCTTCCTTCCCAGGCACCTGAGCACGGGCACTCCCACCCCTCCATCTGGTTCTTGCAGCCTCGAGCCTGGTGGCTGGGGCTACCAACCTCTTCTATAGACACATACAGGGCCCAGGGCAGGCAAACTCCACAGGGGACTTGGGGCCCATCACTGGGCTCCTGGGCTCTGAGCAACGCTCCCTCCCATTCCCAGAGGCCCTCCCTGGCCCCCTTCCAGCCCCAGGCAGTAAGCACAGAGACGCCTGTGTGTACAAAAGGAATTTAATTGAAATGCCTGTATAAAAAATATGCTCTCCATACATTTCACACTTTGAACGAAAAGAAACCCCACCCGAGGCACCTGCACACGCCCGGGTCGCACAAACAGCTGCTGAAATAAGTTAAAGGCTCGTGACTGCCCCACCCCCACCCCCCAGAGCCACCAAGCACTGTACAAGATCGATAATTTAAGACCCTTCC